AAAGTTATCACTATAGTTAACTATAGTTTTCATAGTGTCAAAGTTATCACTATAGTTAACTATAGTTTTCAAAATGTCAAAATTATCACTATAGTTACATGTAACTATAGAAAACTGTTGTTAATATAGTTTATTAGAGTATTTTTTGTATGAGAGAATTTTACAAATTTATAAATATTTTAGTTAGAAACAAATATGACAAAAATTTCTCCTAATTGTGGGAGTGTATGGTTACATGAAAAAGGACTGGCTCATCATGTACATTTACGTACATGGAGTTTTCATAAGAATAATACTATACTTATCTTTTTTGCTATATTAGATACGGTAGACAGCAGGAATTAAAGTGTTTTCGAAAACAGTTTACATGTATAAACATGAATCCTAGTGATTGAAATAAAACGCCTTTGAGTTGACATTAGCTCTAGTTTAAAAAAATGATCAGCAGTGAACTATCTATTGAACCGACCATATGAGTAACCATCAGTTGGTAGCTTGAAAATAAGTTGCTGTCTTGTGAACTGATACCTGAACACTAAATTGATGATCAACAATATTTTTGGCATCTTTCTCTCTTGTTTTTTTTTAACGAATCCATCAGCGTTTTCTAAAATTATATATACGTATATCTAGTTGATTGAACATGACTTATATATAGGAGGATCTTTACATCTCTACGTAATAAAGAAAAAAGTAGTTAAATTTGGATTTCTAGATAACTAAATGTCCAAAATTTACACTGTCAATGTAATTTTGCTTGGTATCCTTGACCTTAATGATATGACCTTGAATCAAAACGATGAGTCACCTGCATATACATGCTTGTTTCAGCAACATTGTGACATTACAGATCATGTACATGTACAAGTATATATAATCCAAGAAAGGGTTCCCAAGTATAAGATTGGATGCCTAGTCAGTTTCATCTTCCTTTGATGTTTTGCCACCTACAAATGATTTTTATTCAAAACCTGTCAAATGCTGGACCGAACTATTTTATCATAATTCATATTGTATGTCTCAGTGACAGTGATCTTTCAGAAACGACACAATACAGAAATCTTGTCCACTGATCTTTGGTCAGGAAAAAAATAGATGTGTTCAAGTAGTTTAATTTAAATACAAATATCCTAATAACTATATGAGATTGACTCAAAATGGCTTAAAAAAGGAGAACTTATATTGATTTTATTTATACTTTTGATGATTCTATCAATACCTTATAATTAATTATGATTGTAAAAAAAAAAACTCACGTTATTATATATAAAACACACAGGAGAAAATCATGTGAATTAAAACGAGATGAATACCATGCAGATAAGGAATGACAGAATTTCAGTCCAATAATTTGTTAGAATTACATTAATATTTTGTTGACATTTTAAAGAAATTAGCGCTTCATATTTGACTTTCTTAGATACGAGGGTTTTCCATAAAGTTCTTGGACTGATGCTATAATTTTCTTAATAAAGTCTGCACCGACAAACGTACACGATAATATTTTAATAAAGAGCATAATTTAGTAAAATAATATATAAAAATGAAAACAATACACACCATTTAAGAACGTTATAGGTGTAAATACTTTGTATATGCAAGCCGCACGGTCCAGTCTGACGTGAAGCTAATTTCAAGATAACATCAAAAATATGGATTTTGAATTTTGATCATATGTTCATTGATACACGCCTCAGGCTACATTTTGTTTTTATTATACCACCTTACCAAGTGTTTGCAACGATGTTTATGTATAGATCATAATTGATTTAATTTTTAAAATTATAAGAAAAAAAAAACTCCCGATAATTTACGAGCATCATCAATATAAACGTTTCGTATATACACAGTTGTACAGCCCATCCGACTTTACGCTAGATTTATAACAAGTCATGAATAGATATGTCCTGTTTTCATCACATAACAGTTGTTTTCCACTTCTTGTAGTGTCTCTGAAATTGTATACACCATTGAAAAATCGTATATACCGATTTCAAATTAATGAACTTAATATATTCCAATAATTTCAAGTTGTTTTAATCAATATTTAATCTCTGACATCGTTTCAACCATATTAAAATATCTAAAGTAAGCTATTAGTAACTGGCTACTTGTAACTACATGTAGCTACGACAAGTGGGTTAAGTTAGCTACTAGTAACTGACTACTAGTACATGTAGCTAACTTAAAATGTGAAGCCTGCTTTATTCACATTTTAAGTCAGTTATTCTAGTAGTAGTAATCAGTTACTAGTAGCTAACTTTACCCACTTGTCGTAGCCAGTCACTAGTAGGTAGCTTTATTTATATTTTATGTCAGTTACTAGTGGCCAGTTACTAGACTTTTACGAGAAGCGCTAACTTTTACAATCGACGGCTCACTTTTAAACAGGACAATATACGGAAGCTCTTTTGCGATATAGATATTAAGCTTAACAGTTAATTAAACGATAATAATGGGCCAATTCAAAGCACGTATTGCGTTGTCTAGGAAGGGAACGGCAGCAATCCTACCCTCAACCCCCTCTCTTCCCACATTGACCAACTCCTGCTTAGTTTTCCTTCCGGAATGTTTTTTCTACCTTATTTGATTCCTCCAGAAAATGAGATCGAAAGGATATACTACCCCTTACGAATAAGGTATTTTAAGTTATGTAAATCTGCCTCCCATCATCTCTTGCGTTGATTGCACACCGGTAAATCATGTAAGTGCTCCTAACACCATACCTATAACCACTATTAAGGTTTTCTTGTCAATTATCGATTCCGTACCTCCGTACATTTGGCAGGTTTAAATGTCAAAGTAAGCCGTCGACTGTAAAAGTCAGTACTTCTCGCAAAGTCCACTAACTAGTAGCTAACTTTACCCATTTGTCGTAGCCAGTTACTAGTAGTCAGTTACTAGTAGTAAACTTTACATATCTAAAAAAGATATAATTTTATGATTTGTCGCTGTTCAGTTCGGATGGCCGAAGTCGCTTTTCTGTCAACTTTTAAAACATATTTCTTGCGGTTTTTGCTTAATATTTTCACTGTCTGTATAACAACCGATAATAAAGATATTAGAAAATTACAATAGCCGCTTTATTTGCAACACACTTACTTTTTATTAAGGTTTGACTTGTTTTATAAAGAAAATAACCATTTTAATCAGAACGCATTAATTCAAAACGTATTGCATTTTAACCCTAGGCCTTGCGCACTATCTGCGACCCTTAAATATTAAGTTCAAACAATAAAAACAAAATTACTCTGACTTGGATTTTTATATCAAATATTTTGGTTTACAACAAGTTTATCTAGAATTAACCTTTAACCATTCATTTTGACAAAAACGTCATCGTCCACGAACTTTATGGACAACCCTCGTAATTTGGCATTAGGCGTGTTTAACGCATTGAACCTTCCCACATTCTTGTTATAAATAGAAATCATTTTGAATACTTAAACGGATTTTTCTTCACCCTCATTAAGCTTAATAAATCAGCATGAATGGAAGGATTTTTTCAACGTCGAATTTACATACATTAAATAAATATTATATATACAGAGAAACAAATACCAGCAAGTTTTAAAAAAAAAGAAACATTCAAAGGCAAGAATGCAATTTTTTGGATGTCCGTCAACAGAAAATACTTTGGCAATCCACAAAATATAATCCAAATTATATCAAGCAAATATTTTTGACCTTTATTATATAACCTTGAATCAAAATAATGAGTCGCCTTATATGTAAAGGACTCCAATATGTACATGTACAATCCCACTCCTGTATATACGTATAAACACTATGTGCTTGTATATAATCTAAGAAAGTTCTTAGTTAAACTTGTAGCCCGGGAGCAGGATTTATAAACACTCTTAGATTTTTCTTTAAAGTTGTACTTAAGTACTAAAAAAGTCTTAGTTAAGAAAAAAAATCTTAAGTCATATTCATATAAATTCTAAGTATAATTCTTAGCTAAGTTCAATTCTGAGAAAATTAGAGCACTTAATTTAAATCACCCTAGCAAACCATGAGAATTCCCGAACAAAAAACAAACTCTTTTGTGATAGAGGTATTTAGTTCCATGTGTATTACATCAAAAGTGAAATGTACTATGTCGTCAACATTGCACAATATTGCATCTTACCAGTTTGATAATTATCTCAAAGACAAAAAGAGTTTTAAGTTTGATGTAATAGCCTGGTTTCTTAATGAAATATTAAGATTTTTTCTGTGCACCATTATTTTCATTTTAATAAAGAAAACTTAGGTATTTCATATCTACTTAAGACACCTCCTGAGGACACTTAACTTTAGGTCAATACTTAAGCACTAAGTATGTTTATGAATTACACTTAAGTATTTCTACCAAATTTAAGCAATACTTAGGGAATATACTAAGATGGTTTATGAATCCCCGCCCGGATAAAGTTTCAGTCATTTTGCTATGACCTTTAGTGATCTGTGAATACATATACAAGTTATGTACAATGGTTGATCCAACATTCACTATCTTCACATAATGATATCCCAGTGACAGCAATAATTGAGATACAACATCTTTCTAAAATCTTCATTCTCTTTGTTCTCTTGTCAAGAAAACTTAAGTTGTGTTCAAATAGTCTAATTTTATACACTTACCCTAACTATATGATATTAGCTCAAAATGTCATGAACAATAAATATTTATGCTAAGTTTACTAATGCTATCCTTTTGGCGATTCCATCCGTACTTAAATTATAATTAAGAGGTCGTTGTTTCCCAAAAAGAATATTATATATGAAATCACATAGGCGGAAATTAGATAAATGGATACTAGATTGATGCAATGCAGATAAGGAATGACAGAATTTAACTTCAATGATTTGTTAGAATAACATTAAAATTTTATGTACAGTGTATAGTGCATAGAAATTAACGGCTGAATATTTGATTTTCGTAATTTTTTGCTACACTAGACGTGTTTTACGCATTGTACCTTCCCACAGTAGTATTATAAATAGAAGACAGTGGTCGGTAGAATACCAGAATGTATTCTTCTCCACTCTCAGAAACCTAGATAATTCAGCATGAAAAGGAACATGTTATGCTTATTGTTTTCTCTCATTTTGATCCAAATAAATGGGATTTCGCTTTTGACAGGCGAAAACAATGACCAAGGGGGTCAAACGGACAAAAATGCAGTCCCAACAAAACGCGTGGATATTCTTCAGCAACTTTTAAACCAGGAAACTATCATCCGAATGTCTTTAGAGAAAAGTGTACGTGACCTCATGAAAGAAGTTGCTGATATGAAAGAAATTCAAATTGAAAATCTAAGACTAGAAAGAAACAGTTTAATCCAGTTGAAAGAAAATCTTACTCGGATTGAATATCCTGAACTACTTACAGAAAAGTGTGAACAAATGTATGAGAGCATGAATCGTTCACTGGAAATATTGAACAACGAACTGACTTCCAGACACAAACAACTTTCAGAAAACGTTTCCAACCTCGAGATAATTCACCGTGACAATCAAGGTAAATATCCACAAACGTCTTCAAATTTTATTATTATTCTGAACGTGTTCTTCAAGCAAGAAATTTCTGAACATTTTTTAACTATGTTTAATGTTATGATTAAGGTCTTCCTTCTCAACGGACAACATTCTTGTTAGTCTATTGTTTCATTTCACCCTTTGTTATAATTATGGTATTCATATTACCTACGGATTACCTTATACTGGTTTTATTTTTTTTCGTATTAAAATAAAAGTATGTTTACCTTTACTTTCTGACTAAAGGTGGACAATTTAAGGCATAGTTTATATCAATAGGAATCTTTTAGGGTCAGAATGCGAAATCTAGGAACCTTTATACAATGATTTTGAAAAAGAAATATCTTTACTGAACGAAAGATTTCTGATTGATTGCATCTTGTACGTCCCCTTCGAGAGTCTTTAACTCATATAGAGAAGTCACCGTAGTAACGGCGAAGAGTTTCAAAGGATCAGTGCACTTAAGCTATGAGAGTTGGGTCCCGATGCTTTGCCAAAAATAAATTTCCGAAATTTATAAACTTTTTGAATCAGTATTATTAAACAATATCTTAAGAGCAGGATTTGATATATTATATCAAATGGAAATATTAAATAATGCCGAGCGACACTGGTTTTTGCGACGGGGTATAGCAGTTTTGTCACATTTCTATTGTTATTCATATGCATACCAGTTTTCAACGACATTGTTTACATCGAGCCGCAACTTGTCCATTCGTCTCATTTGCACAGAATGTGTATTATGATCTAAACTTATACATATCCAAAGGGCAATGTTGGACAATTTGCGGCTCATATGTAATTTTTTGAAAAATTCTCCAAACGTCAGTCGAATTAGCTACTAAATTAACAGGTCACCGAGTGTCAACCTATTTTGACCCGTTTCATATTATAATCACTTTACTCACGTGACATTCCACTGTTCGATTTGCTTTCATTGTGTCTGTCAATCGACTTCATGGCTGTACACACGAATATGTATTTAAGTACAAAATCTTACTATGGATAGACTTTTAATACAGTTAATCATAAGATTTTTCGAATCATAAAACTATTAAGAAAAGGGCAAAGCTCTATTTCTTATACAAAGCTCTATTTCTTATACAAGTCTTAACTTACCTTTCATTTTTAATACAATCAAAAGTACTCACATTGGGGTCATCCTATTTTTATCATAACAAAAAAAAGGACATGGTAAATAATGGTCGACTTTAGCAGTAAACATATGTTTTATGGGAAGGAGATCAAAAGGAGTAACTACATGTGATTGTAAAAGTTGCTCAAATGCTGCATTATCTATTCTAAAGAAGTTTTTATAACTTCTGGGGTTCTCTTTGCACCTCATCTAGCGATACATTATGTGCACCAAGTACACGTACGAGTGTTCCGCCGCTGTTTCCATAATGGTGGTCTTTTCAGTTTTAATGCAGTGCAGAGAGAGAGAGAGAGAGAGAGAGAGAGAGAATGCGAGGGAAACACGTAGAAATACCTAAAGTCTATTAACAATCTAATAAGACATGTATAAGCGTGTGTACAGGGGGAGTATAATAATATGAATATACTACTTGTACTATATTACAAATCTCGCCGTGTGTACCGGCCTGAGCAACTTCAAAATATTGAAGAATTTTGCGAAAATTTTATTAAGGCCTTAAAGTTTACCTCATCTTTTTTCACTAAATTGTGTTTTTCATTTGGAATTTTGAAAGAAATTCTGGTATTGCCAGTGCAAATCAGGTGCACAATTAGTAGGTTCATGTAGCTGTGCTAGTTCATGTCGCCTCTGTATTATGGTCTGCAAGCATCTACAGACACATCCCTAAACACTAGTATCATACGTGACAATATTTTGATTGCCGAAATGAAACAGATATTGAAGACATTTGCGAGTGATTATCGACATAGTAACGTTGTAGAATTTTCTTTGACCATGTTTTTTAATATCAAATACACTTGTTCCGTCAAAAAATGTTAATTTAAATTACATTTATAATTTCTTTATTGCAAAATTAAAAAAAAAAACCCAGAGAACAATGAATAATATATAATAACAAAGAATAATGAATAATATATAATAACAATAGGCACAATTTAAGTAATTTACTCAATATATGTTATACCGATGTGGACCTTTTATTTCTTAATTCTAATGATTGTTTTATAAAAGTGCAAACAGTCAGTATAACTTCACGAGTTGGACTAAGTATATATATTCAAGTTTCTGTATGGGTGATTCGAGATAGAATGAGGAACAATAATTATCTAGCATGGCTTTTATAAGTATATTCCTTGCTTGTATATTACAATGACATTGTAAAAAGAAATGAAATTCATCATCAATAGCATAACATGAAGTGCATAATCTTCACAGATAGTTTGTATTTCTTGGAATTTTCATGTTAACCTAGCAACTCAAATTTTCAGTTAAAACTTAAAACTTTATATTTCATTTCCAAGTGTTATTTATCTATAAATGCATATAATAAAATATGTACCGGTATCACCGTGAGTACTACATACATGTAATACTTTAATTGTTTCACTACACATGTTTGTATTACTACATACAACATGTACAGTGAATTACGATTAAATGTAGTGTGACATCGAAGTCATGTAAATGTGAATCTTTCCTAAAAAATACATTAAGGGGGGGGGGGGCATTTTTTATACAGATATATACGAAAACTTAAGATATTGAGCTGATTCGGTGCTAGGCAGCAAACATATGGATACGGATCATAAAAATTATCAATACAACTACTACGGATCATACAACTACACAATCTCTCTCTCCTCCATTTAAATTCATACTGTGGAATCAATCTTGAAATAAAGTGCAAATGTTTACATTATGTGTCCACTTCCATGCGATTTAAATATCTCCGCCCATTTGCGGGTACCTTAAACTCGAAAGTGGTCCGTTCAAATTTCCGGAATTTAAGGCTTATACATGTTCTTTTCAATGACGTCGTGTGAAATTATAGAAATATGCTAAACAAAAAATTCGAAGTAAAAATATCAAAAGCATATGTATGCACAATAATCATAGATTAACTTAGCGATATAGTCTAATTCAAGGCTTAAAATGGGTGGCTGAAAAGGTTCCAAATGACGCTCTAAAGTGCACTCATTCTTTAAACCTTCACTCGGCAATCAGGACCATTAGGCAGTGAGGGATCTTTATCGTGTAAACGCCAGCCGTGACAAGGGTCCTCCTTTTTAAGGTCTCATCCGAAAGACCCGCAACTTTCACTTCAAATTGCTGAGCGCTTGGACAAGGAACCGTTGCTACCGACTTCGGTCAATCGCAGTCGGAATTTGAACCACGACCTTGCGATCACCCAGCGAGCGCTTTAGCGACTGATCTATATAGTGACGGTAATGAATTTCTGAAGAATGTTCATAACAATATGAAACCTTTAATTTTTTGTTAACAGTCGCATTCAAGACATTTCTTTTCATTATACGGTAATCCCAAAGGAATCTATTGAAAAGAAAATGTTCAAAATCATGAGACCTTTCTTTTGAATTTGGACTGACCTTTAAATAACGGCCAGGAAATCAGTCTTTCCTATCAACAGTTCTGTAAGGATCAACGTTTCATTGTTCACAGAAGCGATTTTTTTTCAACAATTGCACAATGTGCAATCATGATTAATTACATTTTGACCATTTATTTCGTAGTCTAGGTTTCTTGATTGAAGGATAATCAATTATTTATGTTTCTATAACGAGTATTTGTTTGTTTATCCATTGTTTAACGTCCCTCTCGAGAATTGTTTACTCAAATAGAGATGCCACCATTTGCCGGTGGAGGGCTACAAATTTCGCCCATACTCGGCACTCAGGGCCTTTAAGCAGTGAGGGATCTTCATCGTGCCAGCACCTACTCCGAAACGGAACCTCGGTTTATACGGTCTCATTCGAAGGACCGGTCTCCACGTCCCGTAGCGGGATTCGAACCCGCGATGTAAGATTCCACCCCTTACACAGCTCAAATTTCTGCACCATGCGGGTGACCTAAAAGGAGTAAGGGAAATTAAAATTATCTTGAACAATACATGTTATGAATACATGTATCTGAAAATATCGACAGAAAAATGTCAATTTAAAAAATTCTTTGAAGAATTTTTTTTGGCGTATATTTTTTCAGCTAAATAACCAAAAAGCTTGTCTCATATTTAACTAATACATTTCCTAGACTTTTAGCACATATACCTGATACCACTAGTGTGAAAGTGCCTTGTTTACGGGCAACACAGCTTCAATTACTAAAACAACCGATTGTTTCCTTTCGTTCCATTTTCAGCTTTTTAGAAAATATTTTAAAATCAAAGTTTTCTGTTGAGGGCTTTTTTCACTAGTATACATTTGTATCTTAAAATACAAAAAGCAATTTTTACTAGTGGGACGGAAGACCTTATTGCCATTGGATTTTTTTTTAAATTAATTTTTAAAAAAAATTTTTTTTTATTACTCTGTTGAGCCAGCAAACACTCGCTCAATTAAGTCTTTATACAATGAAATATATTGAAGAGCAGGAAATATATAATAAATAATAATAACTTCCAAGTCAGTAGTTAATGCTTCTTCAGACAATTCATATAAAGAAATGCTACACATTTTATTCGTGATTTAATTATCAAGTGACTGTCTCTAATCGATATTCATAATAATTTTGACATTTCTAAAAATCCTCATAATAGTCGATTTTCTTTTTTTTTTTAAGAAATCAATTTTATCATATTTTCATCATGTGATGTCAACCATGAAGTGTAATATTTCCCCAGACCAAAAACAACATTGTACTTTCCCATATCGGATTCTCCTTAACTTTGTATAAATTCTAGTCTGCGAGCTATCTGGGAGATTTTCAAGTTCAAACGGAACCACCTTATCATTTTTAAACAAATGATTTCTTTTTTGAAACTTAAAGTACAGCTTACACACTTTAACGTCATATGATGAACAACTATGTTAGAAAATGGCAATACCTCCAAAGGAGATGGGCGAACATAACGTGCAGAAAGCCTATAGCTTCAGATATATAAAAATCATGCTCAATTTGTGAATTCAGTATTTAGAGTAAAGTTCTCATTATCGAAATTTGTGAAATTATGATAAACAAAACTTTTCTGAGGAAAATTTTCTCGGCAAAATTGATTCCTTTATTTAAAAAATAACGTGGTATTCGTGGGGTTCGAACCCTAGCAATAAAAATCCTGAGTATCATTTTCTTTCGAGATTAGCACGCTAACCACTAGACTACATAAGTCCTGATGAATAAGGTCATTTAAATCATGTTTGTGATATGATAGTATGAGAAAATGACTCTTTTTGTCCTCTTTAGTGTGTGTACAATATTTCATAAGCAAATAATTTCAATCTTTTTGAGATTTTTTCAAATTGTTGAGATTTTACATAAAGTATATCTTAATGTTAGATGAAATATCAAGGAAAATTTTGATGTAATTGAATTTAATTTTTCAGGTTCATGTTTGTCACACTATAGGCTTTTCGCTTGTCATGTTCACCCATCTTCTTTACTAAACAAAAGCATCCCAAGCTCTTTCATCACAATTTTCTATATCAAAGTAGACACCATCATGGCGCAGTGGTTAGAAGACTGATCATTACGTCGAGGGTTCGAATCCACTGCGGGACGTGGAGACCGGTCCTTCGGATGACACCGTATGAAGCGAGGTCCCGTGTCGCAGTAGTTGTTGGCACGAAAAAAATCCCTCACTGCTCAATGGCACAAAGTGCAGAATATAGATAAAAAGAATGAATCGTTTAAACGTCCAAATCTGGCCCCCCGATAATTTACAAAAAAATAAATCAATGATTTTACTACATGTTTTTGCCTCAATCTTTCCATCAAAAATTGTAGTTTATTAATTTCAATTTCAATTTTTACTTCCATGCACTGTAATTAGGTATTTATCTGATTAATATAGCACGGTACGTTGTTTACATCCATTTCTCATAGACTTTAGGCCACAACCCTATTTTGCAAGCCAATTTTTTATATGAGCGCATGGATGTTTCAGGTTGTCGTAAATACGGTCAATGTAAATAGTTATACTAGTCATTTATATTCATGAAAGATATTGAAACAGTCTTGCGCTCATTTGTTATTTTCCAGAAAGGTGCAAAATCACGGGTTCTTGTCTCTATAGTAAAGGCACATTGTTTACAAACGTCAACCCGCCTTTGACCTCATGAATAACAAAGCACTGAAGACGTGAATCAAATTTATTCACTTTCGCGCTTTGATCACACCAATGCGACATCGTGTATAGGTGTCTGCGAGCTATCGATGGTCAAATCATTTTTCAAATCGGTAATTAAAACTCTGGGAGAAAACTTATTTATGATTAAGATGTGCTAAGATCTTTTTTTATTTACTTGTTATTAAACGCTAATTCGGTCGATTTTGTTTGATTTTTTTTATCTATATTGGAGGCCTGTAGCATATATCTTGCACTTACTGCTTGTGTCTCATAAATACAGAATTTTGAAATTTAAATTACTGTGGGAATATATATTATATTTGCCTGTGTTCCTAAATATACATCAGTGCTACGTTCATTGACTGTTGAAAGATAAAAAAAGAGTTTTTTTCAATTAACACTATCATTAATTTTATAGACCGTTATTTGAAAAACACTAATTCATCATATCTTTAGAAAAATAAACTGTTTGTTATAAGTGCACTAATGCATACTTCCAATTGAGAAATCTTAGGGAAGAAATTGAAATACGGAGCGCTAAAAAGACCTGTATACATATCAGATAAAAAGTCACTGGATGAATACATTTGCACAAAATGCACCTCTAATTTGAATAATGGGAACCTTCAGGTTTCTTCTAGCGACCCTGCAAATGCTTAAATGCTTATATTTTTCTCTAGCACGTAATAAGAGGGGTTTTCAGTGGCAGTTATTCATAAAACTTAGTACACCTCGAACACACACTAATGTACTCACACTAATCGCACGCTTGATAGACGCCCCGCCTTCTCATTCAAATAATACAATGACCTGCAAGGCTGTAATGGCTTAGCCGGGATTTTACGGTGAAGTATACGATTTTATTTTAATCAATATCATGTATATTTTGAAAGTCTTCTTTCCAAAAAACTCTTTTATGAGTACCTATACAGACTATGCTTGAAGAATTTAGCTATAATATGACAATGTTCTGATTTGAAAAGGTTAAATTCTGCATTTAAAAAGGGGCGAGAAAGCAGTGTTACATGTATGAAGACTCATTCTTTGCAGCCCTCCATTAGCAATTGGTGGCGTCTCCATATGAGTGAAAAATTCTCGAGAGGGACGTTCAACAACAAACAAACAAAATTTATATCAAAGTAATGAAGCTTTGCTTCAGATTTTCAAACACAAAAGGATCCATTAACTCTTCTTCATTATGTAAACATAAGAGTGCATTCCAGAACATAATAGAAGGTAGAACAATCTCCGCAAGTAAAGGTCAATTGATTAAACACTGATACGAAAAGTGCATGTTTCATATGTCATAGAAAGTGCAGAAAATGTTTCATGTACTATATATTAAGCAAGGAATTTTGCATCATTCTTGTTTTTTTTTTTTTTTTTTTTTTTTTTTTTTTTACAGTTTTATTTTCTCATTTTTGTTTTGTCACATGACGGCCACTTATAATAATATTCATGATTATTATATGATTGAATAAATCCTACCTCTCTGATTGCTATGATCCAACAATGTGCACAAATACTACGTTATATTCACCTGCACGTGAATATAAGGGTTTATTTTTTCTACATTGGTCTAAAAATAGACCGGGAAATTCTAAATTGATACATGTACAAATAGTTATGGAAAGCTATTTCACTTGCTACCAACATCCACTCTGGTGAACATAACTTTCGGGAATATATAATTCGGGGTGGGGTGAGGTTTGGGTGCAGGGACCCCCCCCCCCCCTCCCCTATTTAATTTTTTTGGAACGTAAATTTCTACTTTTAATTTAGACTTAAAATATTCATGAATAAAGACTAAAAAAATCGTTGAAAGACTTGTCTCCCAGTAATTTACCTTAATCCCCCGCCCCTAACCCTACCCAAACCCTACAACAAAATTTGAAGTTAAAAGAATTCTCTTTTCGTGGGGGACTAATCAAAGATTTCTTTCAGCTGTCCTTTTCCCCTGATAATGCACCCCCTTTCAAAATCTATTCTATAAAAGAGACTGACATAATTTATTTCAAAGCAACTTAATTTAAAAAAAAAAAACCAAAATCAATACGACTGGCAATGTTTATTTAACCCTGTCTCTCACATTGCATTTAGCCAGGACTTCAGAAAATGTAAACAAGTAAGATGACATGAACTGCTAAACGAGTTTGTATCATTTAATTATTGAAACATATGATAAAACAATTATTGCTGTTTTCAGTCAATGCGATGATTGAAACATCCTCGAAGTACAATATTAATATAAATAATATTTAAATAATTGGATTGAAGACGTGTAAAAGGAAGCATTTCACTTTCTACTTTATTTTTATTGTTTGAATAGGCTGTATTTCAGACAAGAGAAAAAAACACGATGTCAGTGCAAATAGTCACCATCATACCAGCAAACCGAAGATTAAAAACAATCCAAACACCTGATATCAACATCAATGTAAACGCTTCATACATTTCATAAGAAAAAAAAAACTTATTATTTATGACAATCTCCCCGTCATATCAGCTTAAGTTTGCAGTAGCGTGACGTCATATGCTATTATGACGTCTTATCTTGGTAGTTCAGAAAAATTACTACTGCTGGTGCACTGTGGTATTTTACGGACAGCCGCATTTGAGAACTGATTTTAATTTCAATCATTCTGTGACCTAAAAATCACGTGGTTGCTTAGGAGCATATTTAAAATATAAAAAAAATATTAAAATCATTCATCATTATTTTTTATTATTGTCTTCAAAGGTGTGATCGCATTCAACGCCTTACTGACAGCTGACCAGAAACGACCAGCAAAAAGAGCTGTTATCATTTTTAAAAAGGTAACATTAAATTCTGGAAACGCTTATGATGCAACAACGGGAAAATTTACGGCTCCTGCTGACGGAATATTCTCATTTACTTGGACCATTGCCACAAATTCTGGTCATCTTCTAAGCACAGAAATAGTAAACAACGATAAGCCTGTCAGTTACAACCACGTGAACGGCAGACATGGTAATCACAATTACGAAACTGGATCAACAACAGCTAACATAGAAATGAAAAAGAATGAAAAGGTCTGGATTAGAGCGTATGAAGATGGATATGCAAGACCCACATGGTCATCTTTCTCTGGTTTCCAGTTAAAGAAATAGTCTTTCTGTTAATACAGAAATTTAAAAGAGAAATAGAACTCTTGACAATGTTTGTTTTCAGAAATGTATCACATGTACGTGTAATATTATAACAATAATTGCAAATAAGTTGTTATTGTATTACGTCCTCTGCAGATGTTAGAAAAAAAAAGGTATCGTTGAGGTAAAAAGCAGCATCTAAGGATTGATTAAATATTATTATACCTCATTATAACTATTCTATACGACAGGTTATCTGTTTGGTTCTAGATTATCACGTGACAGGTCCAGAAATCTTCATATTTCCCTATCGTTGTCATGCTTTTCATCATATTCAACCTCTTCGGAGACCTAGTGCATTTTCCCGCAATAATTATCGTTCGTTGAACGAAAACTCCACGTTACAATAGCCTGGTTCACGTTACAAAATTGCTTATTGTTTCATCGGAGTGTGATGTGTCCAGTAATTTTAAGTTAAAATTGAAAGTGAATTTAAGAGCTGGGCCGAATTTGAAAGTTTTTTTTTTCTTTTCTTTTCTTTTCTTTTTTTTTTTTTTTTTAAGTTTTTGCATGTTTCGGTATTTTAAACAATTTATTGCATGAATGTTCGGGAAACATGAAGATTTATTCAGCCAAGAAATATCATATTCCCTTCAGACAGATTTTTCTTGGCTGAATAAATCTTCATATTTCCCTCACGACATGCAATAACTGTCTAATATTTCAATCTCAAATTGTATTAAGCCCTTTCGTCTTCAATTGAAGGTCTTGTTTTTTTTTTTTTTTGTTTTGTTAACTAGCCAAAATATATATATATATATATATATATATATATTAAATCTCAAACTTTTTTTTAGTTAAAAGTTTGAAACCTTGGTTCACTACCATTTTGAAAACTGATACTTTGATCACTTCACTGAAAACTTTGAATGAATATATTATTTGTTTTTGGATTCCCATAAATTTTTTAATGAATTTCTAACAAAAATATTCCAGTTAAACTTTAATTTCTCCATTTAAGTCCAGAACAGTTTCAATATCCCTCTAAAGTAAAGTAAATTCCGTGCAGTTTGTAAATAGTTTATGACATCACAAAATATTTTTCCATTAACCTACTTCCAAACTATTTTTTTTTTTTTTGGTCAATTCAGATTTTTCATTCAAATGATACAATTTAGAACATTCCAAGAAAATTTCAAATTCTTGTTTGATGGCACAACATATGCATATAGAATACAATGAACAATTTACAACTGGGAATTATTGCACAGAAGTTACTTTACTTCATAGGGATTTTAAACTGTTTTGGACTTAAATGGAGAGAAATTAAAGTTTATCTGAAGTATTCTTCTTAGAAAACCATTAAAAATTACTTTTATATAGACTAAAACATTAATCACCCAAATCTGCGTTAGTTATATTTTTAATGTTTTTTTTCTATTCATAGAAAAAATTCTGATTTTTTTTAAAAATACATCTATTAGTAAAAAAGAAAAGAAAAATAGTAATTAAAAAATATAACTAAGGTTTGATTTATTACTTTTTTTAAAAAAGTTTTAAAGTTTCCATTTAGTTTATATTTTAATGGTCAGATTTCTTGTTTTTCAGATTTTAGAAATAGTTTGTTTTTTTTTTATTTTAATCCAGATTCCGTTCTTTTATAAACACTCTAATACTGAGAAAATTTGATAAAAAGATTTAAACATAAGAAAAAATATTTCAGAAATATTTTAGAAGTACTTAATTTCTTCTATTATTTCTTTTTTGCATTAAATTTTCATGGTTTTTGTGAAGTATGAATAAAGTCTTGTGGGGGTTACTGGTGCATGCAGAAAAGTTTATATAATATTGAAGGAGTAGACTTCATGAGTGGGAAATTCAAAGGGAATATAACTTCATTCGCTTTTTGGGAGTTGATTTTATCAACTCTCCATGCACTTACCCAGACCAAACAGTATTTGGCCCTAATCATTTCTCTGAGAGAAAATCATCAATGGAAAATTATCGCCGCCGACAAGAAATAGTACTTGAAAATGGTTGAAAAATTTGATGAAATACCCCTAACAAAAAAATACTATAGTAAACTATAGTTAACTATAGTTTACTATAGTTAACTATAGTAAATCAAAGTTCCAAAGTTTTAACTATAGTAAATCAAAGTTCCAAAGTTTTCACTATAGTAAATCAAAGTTCCATAGTTTTCACTATAGTAAATCAAAGTTCCAAAGTTTTTACTATAGCAAATCAAAGTTCCAAAGTTTTTACTATAGCAAATCAAAGTTTTTACTCTAGTTAAGTAAAGTTTCAAAGTTTTCCCTATACTTAATCAAAGTTTCAAAGTTTTTTCATTAGTTTAACAACTTATGTATTATTATTATTTTTTTTTTATTATATAGCCGTTTTAGGTGAGGGGTGGATATGGGGTTGGTTGGGGCAGGGTTTTTTTGTACATCTTTATTTAAATATACAAAGTAGTTAATTCAAATACAATATTTAAATTTATAAATTTATATAAAAAAAAAAAAAAAAAAAAAAAAAAATACATATTGACTGAAGTTGATGAAGCAGATATTTTGATTCTAAATGACACAATTTTTTTTATAATATATTATTTTTTATTTATAAATAAGACTAACGTTACATCTGCATAAAATTAAAATTAGATACATTGAAATAAATATTGCTTATTTATCGGTGCAAGCGACAACCTTTACATTAAAATTCATATCTTGTACATTATTCTTTTAGTGGAGGGGTCGGGTTTTTAAAATGTTCTCTAAAGCTTTTATGAATCTTAAATTTAAAATATCATAAAATGTAAAGAATGGGAATCAAAAACATAATTCCACGGGATTTATCGTACTTAATCAAAGTTTTAAAGTTTTTACTATAGTAAATCAAAGTTCCAAAGTTTTAACTATAGTAAATCAAAGTTCCAAAGTTTTCACCATAGTAAATCAAAGTTCCAAAGTTTTTACTATAGTAAATCAAAGTTCCAAAGTTTTCACTATAGTAAATCAAAGTTCCAAAGTTTTTACTTTGGTACTATAGTTAACTATAGTAAACTATTTTTTTGTTAGGGACATTCTGAACATATTACTTATCAAGAATTTTTTTTTTAAATTTCAATACATTGATAACATATGAACTTTAAATGACGGTACGGCTAAGTCAGTAATAGTATTTGCAGTTGTAATTATTCCCACACTGGGCCACAGTGCGGCAGGTTTCAATAATCTGGATCAGCCTCTGATAAGCGCGATATAAAGACATGTGATCAGAGTCCTTTGTTGGCTGCCCTGATTGGCTGATAAAAACTCTCGCTGACGTGGATATTTTAAAAATAAAACAGACCACAGAGTGAACAGAGAACTGCTAACGATTAATTCATATAAACCCTGGAAACTTTCGTTCGACAAACTTGGGAAGTGTACCAAATTGATGCAGACATTGATGTAAATGCAACGTCTAACTGTTATGTTTACGAACATGTATACGCGTGACTGAATATCACAGTGGGCGTTATCTCTAAAATGTGTAATGTTCTAAAGCCGCAGATCAGAGCTCCCCACCGAAGCAGGACCTACTGCATGGACAAACATAACATCTGATTAAGCAGCCTTTTACTTTTCTGCCCAGAATATGATAATTAATGATAGTATACACACTAATACACCGGATTGAATTTTCTAGTTAGATGCGTTATTTATGAAGCTTGCTTATTGCTTTTAGGAATGTTGTACATGTAATTGTTTCGATAATTAGTTGACTGTTGAAAGAGTAGGATTCGGAGTGGATCCAGATTTTTGCAAATTGGGGGCGCATTCAGTATTTTTTGCGTGTAATTTGTACTGTAACACATTTTGGGAACAAAGACCAAATATGTTGCTTTGTGGTTTAAATATACTTGGAATGACATTTTATCTCGCTGCAATCTTAATTAGATTTTAGCAAAATCAGTCCCAAAAATATGAAATGATACATTTAAAAATGAATTCTGCCAGGCAATAAGGCTTAATTAATTTTTTCATGATCAAATAAGTCAATTTTTAAATAAACTAGCTGTTACCAATATAGTGTGTCTGAATAAATGCAAATACCTAGGTGTAACGTTTTATTCCTCAGGCTCTTTATTAAAAATCATTAAATTGATTAATTCTTAAAAACAGGGAAAAAATAACTTCACTGAATCCAGACATTAAGAAAACAATTATTAACATTTTTCATAGCATTATTAAAACCTATTTTATTGTATGCATCTTAAATTTTTGGATTTTAACCCAGTTACTTAATAAATAGCATTCCTAGTTGAACTATTGACAGCATACATCCCAACCAAATCTGTGAAACACTTTATCTGATATGTTGTAAATCAAAACTTGGTGTGCATAAATCTGCAACTTAACGGTATTTTGCTGTACTATATCTGAATTGGGTAGATTTCCATACCCTTTGACGTTATACTATCAATGATAAATTATTGACATGGGCTTAAGAATCTAGGTCAGTCTTTTCCACATTTACAAGATGCATATTGTAAATCCAAGTCACTATTTGAGAAAATCTCTCTTCCAGGTATAGCTCCATTATTTTTTTCCTCACCAGCATAGATAGTATTTGTGATTTAACTTCAATCATTACACCATATGGAGAAATGCTGTCCACTTTATTCATATCTCATCAAGTTATGTCAATAATGACGTTTTATTCCAGTATTAAAAAGCAAAAAGACTATTTTTTCCTTCAGATAGCGTCGTTAAGCTTTTCTAAATTCTATCTCCAATGTGATTTTCAAATTAAAAAAAATCATATTATTATCATAGAGACTGAAAGTACAAGTTCCATACCTTTACATACAAGTAAGATGAGGACGAAATCTGTCAGAAAATGGTAAATCTTTCTAAATTTACTTGATAAAGATCTTCAAACCTCTTTTACCCATTTTCCTGTATCATTGTAATGAAACTTCGCTTCAGATTTTCAAACTCATAAGGAACCAACTTTCCGTCATTTTGTAAAAAAAAAAAAAAAAAGACGCATTCCA